GTCTGACATTGGAGCCCTACGCACTAATGTCTTACACAGTTTGTCTGACAGTGGAGCCCTACACACTTATGTCCAACATAGCCTGTCTGACAGAGAGGCCCTACACACTAATGTCTTACACAGCCTGTCTGACAGTGGATCCTTACACACTAATGTCTGACACAGCCTGTCTGACAGTGGAGCCCTACACACTAATAATAATAATATACAGCATTTATATAGCACCCTATATAATTTGTAAAACTACTCTAAGGCGCTTTACAACATATGGATAACATGTCTCACATGGTATGTCTGATACTTGAGCCTTAAACACTAATGTCTTACACAGCCTGTCTGACAGTGAGGCCCTACACAATAATGCCTTACACAGCCTGTCTGACAGTGAGGCGCTACACACTAATGTCTTACACAGCCTGTCTGCCAGTGAGGCCCTACACAATAATGTCTGACACAGCCTGTCTGACGGTGAGGCCCTACACACTAATGTCTGACTTAGCCTGTCTGACAGTGAGGCCCTACACCCTAATGTCTGACACAGCCTGTCTGACAGTGGGGCCCTACACACTAATGTCTGACACAGCCTGTTTGACAGTGGATCCTTACACACTAATGTCTGACACAGCCTGTCTGACAGTGAGGCCCTACACACTAAAGTCCGACTTAGCCTGTCTGACAGTGAGGCCCTACACAATAATGTCTGACACAGCCTGTCTGACAGTGAGGCCCTACACACTAATGTCTTACACAGTCTCTCTGAAAGTGGAGCCCTACACACTAATGTCTTACACAGCCCGTCTGACAGTGGAGCCTTACACACTAATGTCTTACACAGCCTGTCTGACAGTGGAGCCGTTCACACTAATGTCTGACAGTCTTTTTGATAGTGGAGCCCTACACACTAATGTCTTACAGTCTGTCTGACAGTGGAGCCCTACCCACTAATGTCTGACACAGCCTGTCTGACAGTGGAGCCCTACACACTAATGTCTTACACAGCCTGTCTGACGGTTAAGCCCTACACACTAATGTCTGAAAGTCTTTTTGGCAGTGGATCCTTATACACTAATGTCTTACACAGCCTGTCTGACAGTGGAGCCCTACACACTAATGTCTGACATAGCCTGTCTGACAGTGGAGCCTTACACACTAATATCTTACACAGCCTGTCTGACAGTTAAGCCCTACACACTAATGTCTTACACAGTCTGTCTGGCAGTGGAGCCCTACACACTAATGTCTGACACAGTCTTTTTGACAGACGAGCCTTACACACTAATGTCTTACACAGCCTGTCTGACAGTGGAGCCTTACACACTCATGTCTTACACAGCCTGTCTGACACTTGAGCCTTACACAATAATATCTTACACTCCCTGTCTGACAGTGGAGCCCTAAACACTAATGTTTGACACAGCCTGTTTGACAGTGAGGCCCTACACGCTAATGTCTTACACCGCCTGTCTGACACACTTGGGCCCTACACACTCATGTCTGACACAGCCTGTCTGACAGTGGAGCCCTACACACTAATGTCTAACATAGCCTGTCTGACAGTGAGGCCCTACACATTAATGTCTGACACAGTCTGTCTGACATTGGAGCCCTACGCACTAATGTCTTACACAGTTTGTCTGACAGTGGAGCCCTACACACTAATGTCTTACACAGTCTGTCTGACAGTGGAGCCCTACGCACTAATGTCTTACACAGTTTGTCTGACAGTGGAGCCCTACACACTAATGTCTGACACAGTCTGTCTGACAGTGGAGCTCTACACAATAATGTCTTACACAGCCTGCCTGACAGTGGAGTCATACATACTAATGTCTGACAGTCTTTTTGATAGTGGAGCCCTACACACTAATGTCTTACAGTCTGTCTGACAGTGGAACCTTACACACTGATGTCTTACACAGTCTGTCTGACAGTGGAGCCCTACCCACAAATGTCTGACACAGCATGTCTGACAGTGGAGCCCTATACACTAATGTCTAACATAGCCTGTCTGACAGTGGAGCCCTACCCACTAATGTCTAACATAGCCTGTCTGACAGTGTAGCCCTACCCACAAATGTCTGACATAGCCTGTCTGACCGTGGAGCCCTACACACTAATGTCTAAAATAGCCTGTCTGACAGTGGAGCCCTACACACTAACAGCCTGTCTGACACACTTGGGCCCTACACACTCATGTCTGACACAGCCTGTCTGACAGGGGAGCCCTACACAATAATGTCTGACATAGCCTGTCTGACCGTGGAGCCCTACACACTAATGTCTTACACAGCCTGTCTGACAGGGGAGCCCTACACACTAATGTCTGACAGTGGAGCCCTACACACTAATGTCTTACACAGCCTGTCTGACAGTTAAGCCTGACACACTAATGTCTTACACAGCCTGTCTGACAATGGATCCTTACACACTAATGTCTTACACAGTCTGTCTGACATCACGGCTCTACACACTAATGTCTGACACAGTCTTTTTGACAATGGATCCTTACACACTAATGTCTTACACCACCTGTCTGACAGTGGAGCCCTACACACTAATGTCTGAAAGTCTTTTTGGCAGTGGATCCTTACACACTGATGTCTTACACAGCCCGTCTGACAGTGATGCCCTACACACTAATGTCTTACACAGCCCGTCTGACAGTGGATCCCTACACACTAATGTCTTACACAGCCCGTCTGACAGTGGAGCCTTACACACTAATATCTTACACAGTCTGTCTGACAGTTAAGCCCTACACACTAATGTCTTACACAGTCTGTCTGACAGTGGAGCCCTACACACTAATGTCTGACAAAGTCTTTTTGACAGTGGAGCCTTACACACTAATGTCTTACACAGCCTGTCTGACAGCGGATCCTTACACACTAATGTCTTACACAGTCTGTCTGACATCACGGCCCTACACACTAATGTCTGACACAGTCTTTTTGACAATGGATCCTTACACACTAATGTCTTACACCACCTGTCTGACAGTGGAGCCCTACACAGTAATGTCTGAAAGTCTTTTTGATAGTGGAGCCCTACACATTAATGTCTTACACAGTCTGTCTGACAGTGGAACCTTACACACTGATGTCTTACACAGTCTGTCTGACAGTGGAGCCCTACCCACTAATGTCTGACACAGCCTGTCTGACAGTGGAGCCCTACAGACTAATGTCTTACACAGCCTGTCTGACAGTGAGGCCCTACACACTAGTGTCTTACACAGCCTGTCTGACAGTGGAGCCCTACACACTAATAATAATAATATACAGCATTTATATAGCGCCCTATATAATTTGTAAAACTACTCTAAGGCGCTTTACAACATATGGATAACACGTCTCACATGGTATGTCTGATACTTGAGCCTTACACACTAATGTCTTACACAGCCTGTCTGGCAGTGGATCCTTACACACTAATGTCTTACACAGTCTGTCTGACAGTGGAGCCCTACACACTAATGTCTTACACAGTCTTTTTGACAGTGGATTCTTACACACTAATGTCTTACACAGTCTGTCTGACAGTGGATCCTTACACACTAATGTCTTACACAGTCTGTCTGACAGTGGAGCCCTACACACTAATGTCTGAAAGTCTTTTTGGCAGTGGATACTTACACACTTATGTCTTACAGTCTGTCTGACAGTGATGCCCTACACACTAATGTCTTACACAGTCTGTCTGACAGTGGAGCCTTACACATGAATGTCTAACATAGCCTGTCTGACAGTGGAGCCCTACACACTAATGTCTTACACAGCCCGTCTGACAGTGGAGTCCTACACACTAATGTCTGACACAGTCTTTTTGACAGTGGAGCCTTACACACTAATGTCTTACACAGTCTGTCTGACAGTGAGGCCCTACACACTAATGTCTGACACAGTCTGTCTGACAATGGAGCCTTACACACTAATGTCTGACACAGGCCGTCTGACAGTGGAGCCCTACACACTAATGTCTGACAGTCTTTTTGACAGTGGAGCCTTCCACACTAATGTCTTACACAGCCTGTCTCACAGTGGATCCTTACACACTAATGTCTGACACAGTCTGTCTGACAATGGAGCCTTAGATCCTTACACACTAATGTCTTACACAGTCTGTCTGACAGTGAGGCCCTATACACTAATGTCTGACACAGTCTGTCTGACAATGGAGCCTTACACACTAATGTCTGACACAGCCCGTCTGACAGTGGAGCCCTACACACTAATGTCTGACAGTCTTTTTGACAGTGGGGCCTTACACACTAATGTCTTACACAGCCTGTCTGACAGTGAGGCCCTACACACTAAGGTCTTACACAGCCTATTTGACAGTGGATCCTTACACACTAATGTCTGACACAGTCTGTCTGACAGTGGAGCCTTACACACTAATATCTTACACAGTCTGTCTGACAGTGGATCCTTACACACTTATGTCTTACACAGCCCGTCTGACAGTGGAGCCCCACACACTAATGTCTTACACAGCCTGTCTGACAGTGAGGCCCTACACACTAAGGTCTTACACAGCCTATTTGACAGTGGATCCTTACACACTAATGTCTGACACAGTCTGACAGTGGAGCCCTACACACTAATGTCTTACACAGTCTGTCTGACAGTGGAGCCCCACACACTAATGTCTTACACAGCCCGTCTGATAGTGGAGCCCTACACACTCATGTCTTACACAGTCTGTCTGACAGTGAGGCCCTACACACCTATTTCTTACACAACCTGTCTGACAGTAGAGCCCTACACACTAATGTCTTACACAGCCTGTCTGACAGTGAGGCCCTACACTCTTAGGTCTTACACAGCCTATTTGACAGTGGATCCCTACACACTAATGTCTGACACAGTCTGACAGTGGAGCCCTACACACTAATGTCTTACACAGCCTGTCTGACAGTGGAGACCTTAACATTGATGTAAAAGAAAAATAATATACTTACTTCTAGCAACGGTAGTCCCTTACAATAATATACATACCTCTGGTGGCGACACCACGCCCTGAAATTTGTAGGCCACAAGGTCACCGCGAACATAGCCACTATAGCCACCAATGATAAGTAGAATGTTGTTGTAAGCCGGTACTGCCACATGACCAAAACGACCCTTCTTCGGCTCGCCATTTGAAGCAGCTGAAGAGAAAAGAATAAATATTCTGATAAGAAAATTGAATAATTCAGTTATTTCTATCTTTCATACCATATAGAGTTTCATTAGCATTTTCTAGTCTGTTCATTTGCCAAATTCTATTGTAATTTCAGACATCCATACATACCATGTATATTGCAATACCTCCTATGGCTGTTAATAGACATCCATGAAAATTCAACTTTATATCATTTTCCAACAAAATTCACCCAAGTATGATTGTAGACATATATATACAGTACCTACCTGAGTGCGAGTGTACGCCTGGGTGCTTGATCCACTGGTGACAGCCCAGATGGTATAAATGGATCTTGTGATCATAACATGTCTCTATGGAGTTGTGCATGTGTACGTTTCCTCCATAGACAACCATGTAGTTACCCATGATGGAGGCGGAATGATAGGCGCGCTGGATGTTGGAGGAAGAGTATACACGCTGTTTCTCTGGGTACTCTACCTCACCCCAGTATAGTGTCTCTACATTAAACATGAACAGTCGACTGGAAAGTTTCGCAAATCGTGCCTGCAAGGCCGAGTATCCTCCAAACACTATGATTGAGCGGGACTCCTTGTGATAGACAGCCGTATGTCCAACTAGTAACTGTTGCACCGGACGACCTCCTTTTAGATACACTACTTCCCATGAATCCTCACTACCATTTATATCATATCTATAAATAGATGAGGAAAACAATCCATGCTCCATTTTGCCACCTATCACGTAAAGCCAGCTGTTGACTAGGGTCAGAGAATGGCCAGTCAGTTTTTCTGGCTGTAATGAGCTGTTGACAGCCTTCTGTGACCAGGTCTGTGATGTGAGATTATAAAAAAGTAAGTCATTGCAATGGGACCCGTCTGATTGCATACCACCAAAAATATAAAATCCTTCGCCATATTTCACCATTCTGTGTTCCTTACGAGCTGCTGGCCAAAAGTCACTCTGATTGTTACGCTGCACTGTCTCCCATTGACTGTTGCGGACACAGAATCGCACTAAATCCCCAAGTACTTCGTTTAACGTATACCCCCCATATATATACAGACACTCCTCCTCCCGTACAAACACGCCAGCGTGTGCTGTACGAGGGACGAAACTCTCCGTGGAAGGAGCCAGTCTATACCACATGCCTGTCCCATTACGTCCATGTATAGGCAGGTCACATCCCTCCCCCATTACTCCACCATTACACTTACAGATCTTCTCCCCATTGATAGTCTTACAGTCCCCAAATCCACAGGAGTTGGGACAGATACGGAGCTCACAGTCCTGCCCGGTGTAGTAACTGTTACACACACATCTATTGTTTACACATGCCCCCCGGCCATGACAGTTAAAGGGACAATCCTGCACCTTGTAGTCTGCCTGGAAACCCTCCAGGTTGTAGTTCCTGTCCGTGAACAGATAGATCAGCATCTACAAAGTACACACCATCCTTTAACCTTGTATACAAATATTACACTGTATATATTCCTAATGATAACTATATGTGCTCATCACAAACAATATCTCTTATTAACTAATAAATCAACTTTGAAAGTGCAACAGATTATACTATAAAACATATTTACAAATGAATTATTTGTATCAGAACACATATGCAACAGGCATGGTCAGTTAGTCACAATAGATTAGGGAACTTACATAGACAGTAGGGGCCATTAAGGGCTGAGAAACTTGCAGCCCTGATCATGAATATTTATAAATGTGGTACTTACATAGCCAGTCCGGGCCACTATAGGTTGTGGTAGGGTGTTGCCGCTCACACTGGCCACCAGTTTACCGTTGTACGATTGGCCATCAAAGATGAACAAGAAGTCATAGGAACACTCTGTATCCATCTTCCTAAACTCCAACAGAATAGACCTGTTGGCACCTCCCGCTGGAAAAATAAAACTTCCTTTTTAATTATTCATCACAAATATTTAACTATATGATGAGTGTTTTGGATATAATGTGTACTATCTAATAGGGTAAACTACGTATACATTATATGGTACCTATAGCTAATTCTATATATATCCAGACATTCCACTCCCAATAACTCCAATAGTGTCATTAATAGGATGACTGGACAACATAAACTAGAGTAAACTAGAATTATTATACCTCTACTTATTTTACACTATATAAAAGTAACCACATAAACAAGCTATTTCCCCTCTAACTGCATGCCAGGGAGGGGTGCGATAGTTTTGAATCTATTTCCCTCGGAAAATGCGGGAAATTGAGTGACGTCGTGGGCGGGGCCTGACCGAATATTGACCAATCAGTGCAATCGAATTACGTCGGCAATTTCCGGCCACCCGAGACGGTACTTTCTGGACCGACCTTCACCTCGTATTGTTGTTGACAGACGAGAACAGAATGGCGACCCCAATATACAGAAATGGCGACCTCAATATTGTAAGGGAGTGTTTGTATTGGTATAATAAAACAGCAGAAGTATGGGTATTTCGGGATATAGCAAGTTTATGATCCCCCTCGTCCAGGACTATTTCCCTCGGATTCGCCTCAGGAAATAGTCCTGGCCTCGGGGATCATAAACTTGCTATATCCCTCATACCAATACTTTAACTGTTAAACTGTAAGCTGAAGGCAAACCAATACCCCCTCCTATATAAACCAGAACTGTAAGCTAAAGGCTAACTAATACCCACGCTCCTACATGTATATAAACCAGAACTGTAAGCTAAAGGCTAACTATAGCTAATACCCACGCTCCTATATAAACCAGAAATGTAAGCTTAAGGCAAACTAATACCCCTGCTCCTATATAAACCAAAACTGTAAGCTAAAGGCTCACTAATACCCCAGCTCCTATATAAACCAGAACTGAAATCTTAAGGCTAACTAATACCCCCACTCCTATATAAACCAGAACTGTAAGCCAAAGGCTAACTAATACCACGCTCCTATATAAACCAGAACTGTAAGCTTAAGGCAAACTAATACCCCCGCTCCTATATAAACCAGAACTGTAAGCTAAAGGCTAACTAATACCCACGCTCCTATATAAACCAGAACTGTAAGCCAAAGGCTAACTAATACCCCGCTCCTATATAAACCAGAACTGTAAGCTTAAGGCAAACTAATACCCCCGCTCCTATATAAACCAGAACTGTAAGCTAAAGGCTAACTAATACCCACGCTCCTATATAAACCAGAACTGTGAGCTAAAGGCTCACTAATACCCCCGCTCCTATATAAACCAGAACTGTAAGCTTAAGGCTAACTAACACCCCCGAACCTATATAAACCAAAACTGTAAGCTAAAGGCTAACTAATACCCCCACTCCTATATAAACCAGAACTGTAAGCTAAAGGCTAACTAATACCACCGCTCCTATATAAACCAAAACTGTAAGCTTAAGGCTAACTAATACCCCCGCTCCTATATAAACCAGAACTGTAAGCTTAAGGCTAACTAACACCCCCGAACCTATATAAACCAAAACTGTAAGCTAAAGGCTAACTAATACCCCCACTCCTATATAAACCAGAACTGTAAGCTAAAGGCTAACTAATACCACCGCTCCTATATAAACCAAAACTGTAAGCTTAAGGCTAACTAATACCCCCGCTCCTATATAAACCAGATGTAAGCTTAAGGCTAACTAATACCCCCGCTCCTATATAAACTAGAACTGTAAGCCAAAGGCCAACTAATACCCCGCTCCTATATAAACCAGAACTGTAAGCTAAAGGCTTACTATTGTAAATAAATATAGTCTCCCACCAGTAATGATTTCTTTATTGGCTGAGCTGTACACTTATTTAAGATTATTTAAGATTATAGGTCACTCACATACTTCATGTACTCCTTCTCGATGCCAAAACATACTTGCAAACCAAAACTTGTTAGCCCATGAACAAGTTTTGCTGTAAGATTTAATGCAGATATCTCCTCCAATATAAAGATGTAATACAGATATCTACGCCAATTCTAGGGACCAGCCTGATAAGCTCTCCACTGTATAACCAAGAGGTTTAAATTTGGGGCCCATGCTTTAGCTTATCTGAATAAAACAAGTATTTCTTACAAAGGGGCATGACTCCATCAAAAAGGGTCGAAATCCCAAATTAAAATGCCGGTTCACAACTACATAAGATACCGATCATTCATGCAAAGTTGCACGGACAATTATTTGTGTATATTGTGATGTTATGGTTTGTTAAATATATGGCCACATTCGTTTATCTTGGTCCAAACAGTTGAGTTGTTCGTTTATGACATAAGGTCAGACCTTGGGATATGATGCTGCTTTCAGGTGAGACTTGACAAAGCCTTGCAATGCCAGCATAAACCTTTGCAGGTCTGCTGTTATTTATACCTGAAAATGTGACATTTAATAACGTCATCCTAATAATCAAACCCACCCCCTGACACACCCACTCCTTGCTCAACGTCATCCTAATAAACAACCCGGCCCCCTGACACCCCCCCTCCTTGCTCAACGTCATCCTAATAATCAACTCCACCCCCTGACACACCCTCTCCTTGCTCAACGTCATCCTAATAATCAACCCCCTCCCCGGCACACCCACTCCTTGCTCAACGGCATCCTAATAATCAACCCCACCCCCTGACACACACACTTCTTGCTCAACGTCAACCTAATAATCAACCCCCCCCCCTGACACACCCATTCCTTGCTCAACATCATCCTTATAATCAACCCCACCCCCTGGCACACCCACTCCTTGCTCCACGTCATCCTTATAATCAACCCCACCCCCTGACACACCCACTCCTTCCTCAACATCATCCTTATAATCAACCCCACCCCCTGTCACACCCACTCCTTGCTCAACGTCATCCTTATAATCAACCCCACCCCCTGGCACACCCACTCCTTGCTCCACGTCATCCTTATAATCAACCCCACCCCCTGACACACCCACTCCTTCCTCAACATCATCCTTATAATCAACCCCACCCCCTGTCACACCCACTCCTTGCTCAACGTCATCCTTATAATCAACCCAACCCCCTGGCACACCCACTCCTTGCTCAACGTCATCCTAATAATAAACCCCACCCCCAGGGACACCCACTCCTTGCTCAACGTCATCCTAATAATCAACCCGGCCCCCTGACACCCCCACTCCTTGCTCAACGTCATCCTAATAACCAACCCCCCCCCCTGACACACCCTCTCCTTGCTCAACGTCATCCTAATAATCAACCCCCTCCCCGGCACACCCACTCCTTGCTCAACGGCATCCTAATAATCACCCCCACCCCCTGACACACCCACTTCTTGCTCAACTGCATCCTAATAATCAACCCCACCCCCTGGCACACCCACTTCTTGCTCAACGTCAACCTAATAATCAACCCCCCCCCCTGACACACCCACTTCTTGCTCAACGTCAACCTAATAATCAACCCCCCCCCCTGACACACCCACTCTTTGCTCAACGTCATCCTAATAATCAACCCCACCCCCTGACACAGCCACTCATTGCTTAACATCATCCTAATAATCAACCCCACCCCCTGACACACACACTTCTTGCTCAACGTCAACCTAATAATCAACCCCACCTCCTGGCACACCCACTCTTTGCTCAACGTCAACCTAATAATCAACCCCACCACCTGACACACCCACTCCTTGCTCAACGTCATCCTAATAAACAACCCGGCCCCCTGACACCCCCACTCCTTGCTCAACGTCATCCTAATAATCAGCCCCACCCCCAGGGACACCCACTCCTTGCTCAACGTCATCCTAATAATCAGCCCCACCCCCAGGGACACCCACTCCTTGCTCAACGTCAACCTAATAATCAACCCCCCCCCCTGACACACCCACTTCTTGCTCAACGTCAACCTAATAATCAACCCCACCTCCTGGCACACCCACTCTTTGCTCAACGTCAACCTAATAATCAACCCCACCCCCTGACACACCCACTCCTTGCTCAACGGCATCCTAATAATCAACCCCACCCCCTGGCACACCCACTCCCTCACTCTCTTTTTTTTCCTGTTCAAACAGATTTAATAACAATTACAAATATCCTTCCCAATACTTTACCCAAACATTCAGTACCTGAGAAACAACTGTTTTGATAAGTAAAGCGGGTGTGAACCGGATGAACCCTGTTTTAGAATTGTTTTGCTGTTACCACTATTAAAAACCTGGTGTACCACTCTATTTTAAAGTTCTGTGTCTGAATCTGAAACTGGCTATATGATGTAATTTATTGAAATATTTCAACTTATTTTTGGGCATAAAATCAATTCTTCACGATATCCAAACGTCATAGTTCAGTAAAGTCAGATTTCACTACAGTCAAGATCTACATTATTACAGGATATCAAATAGTCAATAACAATGTCAGCTTTTACTCCAAATCAAATCAATAATGAATATTACAGAATATCCAAATTATATTTCAGTCAACATGTATATATATATATATATATGGGGCAAAGAAGTAATTCCAACAGTGTGGACAAGTTTAGGTTGCCAAATTTTCGGAGCGATCCACTCCTTTATCAAGACACAGTGAAACAGAACAGTTACATGTACATATACATCATATTACAAGAAGATAGAACTTATATACTATAATTGAAAATATAGCTATTATATAAAACCAATAGTCCCCTCGGCTAAAGACAGCAATTAATCTGAGAGCATCGCGGACAAGGAACGCTGATGTAGAGGACCTATTCTTGCGCAAGATGCACTATCATATAAAGTGAGTCAACGAGAGATATCAAAAACTGTCACAGTCACAGCAGGGGGTCCACACTTAGACACCTCCTTTGGTTTGCAGGAATAATGCATGTGCCTCTTTTGGTTTGCAGGAATTATGCAAGTAATTATCTAATAAGTGAGTGCAGGAGGAATAAGTAGATGAAAT